TCCCTCCTCTGGACATGTCCAAACCACTGTCCCTCCTCTGGACATGTCCAAACCATCTCAGTGTGTCCTCTCTAACTTTATCTCCCAGGTGTTCAACCTGTGCTGTACCTCTGATGATCTCATTCCTGATCTTCTCCATCCTTGTCTCTCCTAAGGAGAACCTCAACATCTTCATTTCTGTCACTTCCAGCTCTGTCTCCTGTCTTTTTGTCCATGTCTGTCTCCAGACCATACAACATAGCTGGTCTCACCACTGTCTTGTAAACTTTTCCTTTGATCTTTGCTGACACCCTTTTGTCTCAAATCACTCCTGAAACTTTTCTCCATCACTCCATCCTGCCTGGACTCTCTTCTTCACCTCTTCACCACACTCCCCATGTTCCTGGACAGAGGACCCCAAGTCCTTGAAGTCCTGCACCTTTGTGACCTCTGCTCCTTGTAGCCTCACTGTTCCACCTCCTCCCTCTCATTCACACACATGGACTCTGTCTTACTACGACTGACTTTCATTCCTCTTCTTTCAAGTGCATACCTCCACCTCTCCAAGTTCTCTTCCACCTGTTCCCTCTTCTCACCACAGATCATAATGTAATCTGCAAACATCATAGTCCAAGGAGATTCCTGCCTGACCTCATCTGTTAGTCGGTCCATCACCAGAGCAAACAAGAAGGGGCTCAGAGCTGATCCTTGATGCACTCCCACCTCCACCTTGAAGCCATCTGTCACTCCTACAGCTCATCTCACCACTGGCCTGCTGTCCTCATACATGTCCTGCTGTCCTCATACATGTCCTGCTGTCCTCATACATGTCCTGTAACAGTCTAACATACTTCTCTGCTCCTTCAGATCTCATGTAACACCACACCTCCTCCCACAGCACCCTGCCAGATGTTTTTTCTAAATCCACAAAGACACAATGGAGTTCTTTCTGACCCTCTCTGTTCTTCTCCATCAACATCCTCAAAGTAAAGATGGATCTGTGGTGCTCTTTCTCTTCATGAAACCATCCTGCAGCTCACAGATAGTCACCTCTCGTCTAAGTCTTGCTTCCACAACTCTCTCCCAGATCTTCATCATGTGCCTCATCAACTTAATTCCCCTGTAGTTGCTACAACTCTGTACATCACCTTGTTCTTAAAAATGGCCACCAGCACTTCTTCTCCATTCCTGAGGCATTTTCTCACCCTCAAACATGCCATTGAATGTTTGAGCACATATGATCCAAATTAGTATTTTCATATAAATGTTAAAACAGTTAAATGTTGACTCGACGCCCTCGTTTTAATTTACTTCTTACTCTAAAATGCTGACAAGGAAATTTAATACAATTTTCAGTTTCTATCCATACATAAAGTCAGTTTAGGTCTGCTGAACCACTGGGACGGCCGTTGATGGTGCTAGGTGTAATTTGTGGCAGCCATCTTGTGAGGAGCTCCATACATCACTCTGTTCCGTTTACATGTTGAAGCCACACATGACGTTTTGTGCTGCTGTAAGTCATCATTCCATAAGAGTCCAGAAAAAGCCTCATTCCATATAAATCAACATATACAATTCAAACGGTGACAAAAAAGACAGTGCTCTGTCATTTATTTATATGTTCTTAATTTAAGGTGATTCCCAACATATTATCTTTGTTGTCTTTTGTGTTTGGCAACATCTTCTTACAATTTATTGTTGTGTACATCAGCTGTTATTAAATGTGCTGTATACAGAAAACAAACTGATCTTAGTATTTTCATTTGAAAACAAAAAATGAAAATTATTCTCCCTAATGGAAGACTATGCACAGATTTACATCATAAACAACTGTAAACTCGTTTGGGTAAGTTTAATAAGCATTCATTCATTTTTATCAAAACTATTTGAGTCAGTAATTTATACTTTTAAATTAACTATCTTAGAACGCTACAAGTCTGTCTAGAAAAAAAAAACTACTAAAACTGACAAAATTAAAAGTCTGGGGTAAAAGCTTCCTGTCACTCTGTATCAAAATAAAAGCACGTGGCTGGATCGTCTCTGAGCATCATTCCTGCAGCCGAGAGCTGACTGGGTCTTCAGATCAGGGTCATGGCTCATGTGTCCATGTGTCCCTGATCTGGGCTGATGATGGACACTGTCCTGCTGCTGAATGGACTCTCCTCAGGATGGACCTCTCTGCCAGGTCCCTTTAAGTTCTGAAGCCATATCTGGTCCTGGTCCTGCTGGTCTCCAGTTCTAATGGTTGGCAAACAGGCCAGCCTCCCAGCGCAGAGCTCGCTGGTTCTTGTGACGAACGACTCGGGTCGACTCCACAACCTGAAACAGGCCAAAGGCACAAAGTCAAGAAGAAAAGTGTGTGTGTGTGTGTGTGTGTGTGTGTGTGTGTGTGTGTGTGTGTG